AATTTTCTCTTTGCTATTTCATTTTTAAAAACACAAAAATATTAAAGAAGAAAATAGAACCTCTCCAAAACTAAAGCAAAAATGTTCCCGAGGCTGTACTGTCAGCCATGTGTAGATGCTAATATCAGTATCATTAGTTTTTGATTTGGAAGTTACTCTTTCTTCTTCAGGAAAGAGTTTTGTTTGAAAGGCATTTTTCTCCTTTGCTGTCCCACACAGAAATGTAGTATGAGTGTCTCTCAACCATGGCAAACAGCTGATCCATAGGAGAAGGCTTTATACCGATATCTCCAGAATCTCCTCAGAGGTGGGGAATATAGAGCAAGGAACCAAGTGCTGGGTGATACTGCAGACTTACTACTTGGACCTTAAGCAGAGCCACTATTGGTTTATGCTTTTTTGCAATTTTTTGTTTTTGTTGACAAAAAATTTCCATGCATAAAAAAAAAGTTAGAAAATTATAACCCCAGGACATTGCACTGTCTACCATACATCACTCCTCAGGCTCTATTTCTCACCCGTAAAGTTAGCTCATAGTGTATTTCTCAGTTGCCCCAAATCAGAGGCAATAACTACTTTTTAAAGTTATGTTCAACTTCTGTAATAGTCAAGGAAATAAGGCTTAAAAATCTAGGTAACATTTTCTACCAACAATTTGTGAATTTTCAAAATGATTACCACAGCATTGTGAGGGTTTTGGGTAGTTGTTACTCTCAAATTCTTCTAATGGGAGTACATTTTGGAAAAATATATTTTTTGAGGGCAATTTAGCAAAATGCATTGGGATCCTTAAAAGGATTGACTATTCTTGGTCATCTTTTAGAGATTCATTCTAAAGAAGTTATTAGAAAGACAGAAAGATTTTTCCACATTGATGTTTATTACAGAATTTTTAATGCATTGACAAATTTGAAAAAATTTAATATATACTTGTAGAAGATTTAATAAATTGTTATAAAACCATACCATGTAAAACTGTTTCTTCATTAAATATCATGTTGTATGAGACTGTTCGATGACATAGGAAAATATTCTTTATGTATTTGGTAAAAATAAAAGAATCAAAATATAGAATAGGATTGTAACGTGGTATTAATTTTATATTTTAAAATTTGCTCATAAAAAACAAGACATATGCAAATGATTTAGCTTACAGAAGTTATTAATAAGAGGGAGAATTATGGGTAATGAAAAGAAAAATCCTTCCATTTTAGTTTCCTGAATTTCTGCTTTTCCTAAACTTTCTATAATGAACATATTTTCCGTAGCCTTCCCCACTCTGCAAAAAAAAAGAATGTGACATAAGAGTGATTAAGACACCAACAATGGACTAACCAAGTAGATAATTTGAGTTGTTCTTATATTGTTTTGTTTTGTATAACTTTAATAACTGATGACCCAATTAGGTTGTAGAAGCAAACATGACCTTTCATTAAACGGACGGTCGTGTAATGGATCATAGAGCTAAAGACTAAGAGGAGGCTCCCCCTCACTGTAGAGGCACAGACAATGGATCCACTTTGACAAAGACCACAAAACTGACTGATGTCCTAGTCCAAAGTCGTCACGAAGGTGCCAGCTGTCATGCTACTGGAAGTATTCAACTGTGTATCTTTAGCCTAAAAAGAAAAAGATAGTGTTAAGAAAAATACATCCCAAGGCAAGAAACTTTTCAACAAGGCAACTAACTATAAGGCACTTTTATCAGACATTTAAGGTGAAATTGGGCATGAAAAGAAATTAGAAAACATCTGGGAAAACTTCCAAAAATGCCAGTCTTTTTCGATAACCTTTGATCCATTTTGCAATTTGATACCCACAAAAATCAGACACCATGATGGATTCAGTTAGTTATGGTATACATTTAATATGTAATTTAATTGAATTTCCAATGTAGTAGGACACCTATTATTCCGAAAGAGAGAAAAGCCCAAATTCACTGAAGTTGATATATGCATCAGGATATTCTTGAAAGAATAATTCAGAATTCTCTTTTCAAGTCTGCCTTCAAAGTACCATTGATAAAGTAAGGCAGAGTGTAATTAAAACCAATTAAATTCAAACAAAAGCAAAATTGTTTAAGTATATTCATCATCCAGTTTGAATCTCTTATTATATTCATTTCTCCCTTATTTCAATGAACATCATTTTGTTAGTGTGGGTTACAGCTTATGTTGGGAGGTTGGGGAAGGGGATTATACCATTGCAGAACTCTATTACTTCTGAGAACTTAAAATGACAATGAAAAGCACAGCTATGATTAAAATCACAAATGCTTTTATGTTTATTAATTTGTCTCCAATGTTATAGATCATAAGGGATATAGCATTTACTATTTTGTACCTGAATATGTGTACATATTGGCTACTATAATTGTAATTGACTACTGTAAAAAGAATGCTATGAGGAGTAGATTTATGTTAATCAGAAGGAATATTTAAAAAAATCAATTAGTAGTAATAACGAATGGCAAGCAGCAGGTTGGGTATGAGAATTATCATTTCAAAAAATGAATGCTTTTGTTAAAGTCACTTTTAATTTCTTGATCAACAAGTCAAAAATGTATTTCTTGTTTCTGAGAAAGTCCAGGTACAACATCAGACTTCATCAGGAGAATAGGTGAGTGTTTTTACTGACAGCATGCTACCAAGATACCTTTTTTAGCTCATCTTGATTTTAGAATTACCATATACTAAATGTGTGTGTAGCCTCAAAATTCATATGTTGAAACCTAATTCTTAATCCGGTGGTATTAGCAGATGAAGCCTTTGAGAAAGGATTAGGTCATGAGGGCAGAGCCCTCGTGAATGGGATTAGTGCCCTTGTAAAAGAGAACCCCCTCCCTGTGGAGCTCCCTCCATCCTTCCCCCATGGGGACACAAAGAGATGGCCATCCAGGAACCAGGAACCTGGTCCTCACCAGACACCAAATTTGCCAGTGCCTTGATCTTGGACTTCCCAGTCTCTAGAACTGAGAATGAATTTTTGTTGTTTAAGCCAACCAGTCTATGCTATTTTTGTTATAGCAGCCTAAACAAACTAAGACAAGAATGAAGTTGTTTCACTTCTTTTTAAAGTATAACAAATTTTTTTTCAATCAAAGGGAAAATATTTTTTTTTCCCATTTGAAGTTGGAAGAAAGAATGCACTCCACACAGAAGAAAACCAGAGAAATTTCAGCTTCAAGAGCTATCCTTGTGAAATAAACTGTTTGGAAGCCTGAATGACCCTTGGAAAAACAACAACAACAAAACCAAACACAAATTAAAACAGCAACAGCTAGTAGTTCTACTCCTGTTAGCAAATTCACAGATAGGAAAACATTTACATGAAAAGTACTGAGGTTTCTGTTTATTTCCAGACATATATTCCACAGCAGTTCATGCCATTGGTGTATTATAGAAGATTTTTAGCCACGAGAAAGAAGGAAATTCTGCCATTCACAACAACATGGATGAACCTGGAGGGCATTATACCAAGTGAAATAAGCCAGACAGAGAAAGACAAATGCTACATAGTATCACTTATATGTGGAATCTGAAAAAAAAGCCAAATTCATAGAAACAGAGAGTAGAAAAGTGGTTGCCAGGGACTGGGAAATGGGAGAAAAGGGGAGAGGTTGGTAAAAGGGTACAAACTTTCAACAATAAGGTGAATAAGCTCTGAGGATCTAATGAAAAAGATGGTGACTATAGTTGATAACACTGTATTTTATCATTGATATTTGCTGAAGGAGTAGAACTTCAATGTTCTCACCAAAAGAAAAAAAGAAAAGAAGATAAATATATGAGGCGATGGATGTGGATGTGTTAATTTGCTTAAGGGGGGGGATTCTTTCACAATGTATACTATATCAAATCACCACAATGTACACTTTAAATATCTTACAATTTTACAGGTCAATTATACTTCAATAAACATGAAATTTTTTGAGAAAGATTTTTTGTAACACGTTCTGCAGTATGATGCATCTTGGAGTTTGTGGTATTTCAGATATGAGCTGGATGTGTGATTGATAATGCCTGCAGAAAAGACTGGATGCTCAAACACACGCTCATGTGGGGGGTGGGGAGTAGGAGGAGGATAACATTCAACTTTTCAATTCTTTCTAGAGCTAACATTCCATTACAAATTACTCATATTCTAATTCTTACCATTGCTATTCTTTATCACATGGTGATTTGTTGTGTCTCTTCTTAGATTATACTAGTTCTGTAAAGAGAAAAATTAAAACACTGTTTGCTATTTATTAGTCATAAATTCATAAGCACAGATTGTTAGAAGGGGCTTCAGATATGTGGTGGAATCTATTTCAATGCCAGGTAAGAAAAATGAGGTCCAAGAAAGATAATCAATTTGCACCAAGTCACCTAATGTGGTAGACAGAATTCTGGATCCCCAAAAATGTCCATGTCCTAATCCCTGAAAAAGTATTGCCAAAATCCCCTTCCTTGTCAGAAGGGTCTTTGCAGATGTGGTTAAATAAAGGACTTGAGATGGTGCAATTATCCTGGATTATTCAGGTGGGCCTAGTATCATAATAAGGGTCCTTATAGGAGGAAGGCTGGCGAGTCAGAATGACAGAGCAAGACTTGTGACTACAGAAACAGAATTTAGAAGCTAGAAAAGGCAAGGAATGAATTCTCCCCTCCAATTTCCAAGAAGGACTGCAGTCCTGCTAACCTATTTTAGACTTCTGACCTTGAGACAATAAATTTGTTTTAAGTCACTAAATTTATTGTAATTTGTTATGGCTGTAATGGGGAACTAATACACCCAACAATGAAGTTGTGTAAGCAAGTCTAAAAGGAGTATTTCCTAAGTCCCAGGTCTATGGCCATTGCACTATGTCATGTTACATTTTTCAGCTTGTACCCATCAGTACACATGGGTAAGGTTCTAACCAGATCAGTTTACCCAAAGTCAACTCACATAAATGGAGCCCTTGTTATGGGAAATTTCCAGGAACTAGATGCTAGACAAGAACAAATACAGTCACGCGTCAGTTAGTGATGGGAATACATTCTGAGAAATGCATTGTTAGTCAATTTCACCGTTGTGTGAACAACATAGAGTGCACTTACGCAAACCTAAATGGTACAGCCTGCTACACTCTTAGGCTATATGGTATAGCCTATTTCTCTTGGGCTACAAATTTGTACAGCATGTTACTGTACTGAATACAGGCATGCCTCATTTTATTGAGATTCACTTTATTGTGCTTCACAGATACTGCAGTTTTTACAAGATGCTCTACCAGCAAAAAGATTATGACTTGCTGCAGGCTCAGATGAGGGTTAGCGCTTTTTAGCAATAATGTATTCTTTAATTAAGGTATGTACATTGCTTTTTTAGACATAATGTTATTGAACACTTAACTGATTACAGTATAATGTAAACATAACTTTTACATGCACTGGGAAACCAAAAAATTTGTGGGACTCGCTTTATCATGATATTTGTTTTTTTGCAGTGGTCTAGAACCAAACCCACATCTGTGAGGTATGCCTGTACTGTAGACAACTGTAACAAAATGGTAAGTATTTGTGTACAAAAACATATCTAAACATAGAAAAGGTACTGTAAAAATATGGTATAAGAGATAAAAAGTAGTACACCTGTATAAGGCTCTTACCATGAATGGAGCTTGCAGGACTGAAGTTGCTCTGGGTGAGTCAGTGAGTGAGTGGTGAGTGAGTGTGAAGGCCTAGGACGTTACCGTGCACTACTGTAGACTCTATAAACACTGTACACTTAGGCTGCACTAAATTTATTAAAAAATATTTTTCTTTCTTCAATAAAAAAATTAACCTTAGCTTAATGTAACTTTTTTACTTTATCAACGTTTTATGTTTTTTAACTTTTTGACTCTTTTGTAATAACGCTTAGCTTAGACACAAACACATTGTACAGCTGTAAAAAAACTTTATTTCTTTATATTCTTATTCTATAAACTTTTTTCTACTTTTAAATTTTTGAATTATTTTTTTAATTTTTAAACTTTTTTGTTAAAAACTAAAACACACACATTAGCCTAGGCCTACACTGGGTCAGGATCATCAATATCACTGTCTTCCACCGACACATCTTGTCCCACTGGAAGGTCTTCAGGGGAAACGACACACATGGAGCTGTCATCTCCTAGAACACCATGCCTTCTTCTGGAATACCTCCTGAAGGACATGCCTGAGGCTCTTCTTGAGGAGGGGTCACTCTTGTCAGAAATATGTTTGAGGTGGTTTGCTTGGTTTGTTTCTTTTTCCTTCATAGATTTGCTTATAAGCAGATAATGCCCCATGAACATTCCTCTCTATTAATAAAAACCTTTTGGTTTTGGGGTTTGTGTTTTCAAACTTTTTAAGAAGCTTGTTGAGGCCTGCAAATCTTACGCTAAACCTTTCTGTGAATATTCTTGGGGATTCTTTTACTTTTTCTTCTTCTGCGGTTTTCTTTCTCTTGCCTCTTCTTCAGCTGTGCGTTCCTGTTCCAGTTCTGACAATTCCTCATTAGTCAATTCCTCAGGAACCGCCTTTAAAAGCTCCTCAATGTCATCCTCATATACACCCAGGTTAAAGTTGCTTGCCATCTCAACCACAACCTTGTTGATTTTTTTGCAATCACTTCATCCTCGGCAAATTCTTTGAAGTCATAGATGAACATTTTAAGTGTTTTCTTCCAGAGGCCATTCATACACTCCTTGGTGACATCACTCCAAGCCCAAGCAAGGTTTCTGATGCAGTCATATATGCTGTAATCCTTCCAGAATTACATCAGTATATTCTCAGTGTCTTCCTCAGTTGCAGCAATAGCCTGGACAAATGTCCTCCTCAGGTAGTAGGCTGTAAAGCTGCTATAACTCCTTGATCTATTGAATTGAATCAATCCTTATTGATTGAATTGATAGATCTATTGATTGATCAATAGATCAATAGGTTGATTCAACCAATCTATTGGTTGAATAAAAAAGGTAGTGTTTGGAGGAAGAAAAACTGCTTTGATATTGGGCTGAAGATAACCAATAGAAAGAAAGTGTCCAGAAGCATTATAAAACAGTAAACAATATTTTGAAAGGTATATTATTCTTCAAGCAGTACTTCTCCATCTCTCTGGCATAGCAATTCAGGAGGGCAACTTGGAAGAAGAGCTGGGTCGTCCATGATGTCTTATTGCTTATTGTACACTGGCGGTGTGTGCTTATTGATATGCTTGAAGGCCCTGAGGTTCTCACTGTGCCAGACCACAAATAGTTTCAATTTGTAGCCTGCAACATTGCCCCCAAGCAAGACTGTTATCCTGTCCTTAAAAGCCTTGAAACCTGGCATTGACTTGGCCTCCTTATGGATGAAAGTCCTTTCAGGTACCCATTTCCAGAGTAGGGAGATTTTATCCATATTGAAGATTTGCACTAGCAAGTAATTTTCCTCTACCATTAGCCTATCTAGAGTTTCCAAAAATTCCTCAGTTGCCTTCACGTCAGCACTCACAGACTCACCACTCACTTTCGCGTTATGTAATGAATAATAATTCTTGAATCGTTTAAACTTCCCAAAGTTAGCAGTAAATTCAACATTATAGTTGGGTCCAGCCTTTCTTCTAAACACTGCAAACAAACTATTTGCTTTGGTCATGATCATCATGGTGCGGAGCGGGATAGGCTTCTGTGTCTGGTATTCGATACAGGTCATTAGAAGTTTCTCTACGTCTGATGTAAGCCCTTCTCAAATTTTTGTTGGTCTTGTCACCTTCAATGAAGCAGATCCTTTAACAACTTCCATCACTTTGTTCTTGTTCGTCAAGATAGTAGCTATGGTGGAATAGGACAGGCCTAACTGGTGAGCAGTAACCATCACGTCGTAGTCCTTAACCACTTTTAATTTTGTTTCCAAGTCAGTCACGCAACATAGCCTCTTACTGGCAACATTAGCACTGGATTTTGTATGCTTAAGGGGTATGATGAACAAAACAATGCAAGATTTAATCAAGTGCAAGAGAAAATGATGCAATCAAGAGACAGAGTAAACCTGAGATGTACGAGGCTGCTGCTGGTGTAACACAGTATACTGTTTTACAGTAAACTTTTCTTTTTATAAGTAGAAAGAGTACACTCTAAAATAATGATAACAAGTATAGTATAGTAAGTACAGAAACCAGTGGCATAGTAGTTTACTATCATTATCAAGTAGTACATACTGTACTAATTGTATGTGCTATGCTTCTATACAACTGGCAGTGCAGTAGGTTTGTTTACACCAGCATCACTGCAAACATGTGAGTAATGCATTGTCATACAAAGTTATGATGGCTATGATGTCACTAGGTGATAGGAATTTTTCATCTCCATTATAATCTTATGGGACCACTGTCATATATGTAGCCCATCGTTGACCAAAACATCATTATGCGGCACACGACTATATGAAAAAAGAACATGTTTGTACATATGAACAATCCTACCTGCAACAGTGCCATTTAATGTAATAGCATCAAGTTCTATCCCCTTCAGAGTCTGCACTAGCTTGATACCTTTAGTAGGCTGTTGGGCCCTTATTGGGAATTCTTAGTTATGTGACCTTTTAAAAATATACTTGATCCACTCAACACTGGCTATACTACAAATGATTACAGAGAACCTTTCTAATTTTTACGTAAAACAACATAGATATAAATGAAATAATATTAATATTATTATAAAATAATATATTAATCTATATATTAATATATAAATATATTAATCTGAACCATATGAAATTGTTGATATTCTAGGACGTGGTTTGTTTTTGGTGAAGAAGATTGGCCATGAGCTAATATCTGTTACCAATCTTCCTCTTTTTTTTTTTTCCTTTTTTGCTTGAGGAAGAGTGGACCTGAGCTAACATCTGTGCCCACTTTCCTCTATTTGTACATGGGACGCCACCACAGCATGGCTTGATGAGTGGTGCGTAGGTCCACACCTGAGATCTGAACCTGGGCCACCAAAGCAGAGCACACAAAGTTAACCACTATGCCACCGGGCCAGCCCCTCTAGTATGTTTTGAAATATGGAAATGGCAATTTCATACAGGTCAATCTCATAAGTGCCTGTGGTGGACACCGTAGCATGCTGCCCAGTTTCCCCCTCAGTGAAGGATTTGTTGCCCCTGTTGCTAAGAGTGCTATAAGCACTTGACCGTTAGCCCTTGCCTCAGGTCACAGTGCCTAGATCCAGTGACTGACTAATGCAGGAGTATAAATTCTCGGCCATCTTTGTCCAACTGGGGACAACTCTGAAAGTTCATTCCAGCGCTAGAACTTCCTAGTTGAGCAAATGCTACTTTTAGACCTGCATCACTGCTTGACTCCTATATCTGCCTGGTCCTGGTTCTTTTTCTCTCTTCTACAGGGTCATCCTAAGGGCACTCTTGAATAAACAACCTGCATTTGTCATGCCCAGAGAACCCAACTTGCAACAATGTCATTTAATATAATAACATATAAAATTCCATAATATATAAAAGCCCAGTGTTGAGTCTGTGCTAGTGTAATGATGCTACAGAACAGCTGAGAAATTGCCATCAGTACTCAAGCTTTATTTGTCAGTGTTGTTCCAACATGCCTATGACATATGTATTATGGAACTGTCAGTTGATTATGCATTGGGGGTATACATTATGTCAGCACTGGCTGTGTTCTTTTGGAGTAGTAATAAAAATATAAGTCAAGCTATCCAATCTTGCCACCCTTCTTCTCTCCATGCCTCAGTTTCGTATTCTGTAAAATGTGGCTAATTGTGGGTGCTACCTCATCCACAGGTTGTGATGATGTCAAGAATACATGAGTTAATACATGTAAACTCTTTAAGTGGTGCCTGACACCTAGTCACCACTCAACAAATGGTGGGTATTAGCTATTATTTTCAGGTACTATGTTCCAAGAATTTCTCTTATATCATCAATCTCTCTCCACTGACTCTTTCCCTTTCAATCTACAAATATTCTCAGCCTCCTAAATAAATAATCAAAGAAGCAAGCAGACAACTAATGTTGTCCTTTCTTTTTCCTTTCTCCTTGTAGCTACCCTATTTTTCCTTTTCATCATTTAATAAAAGGTTGGTCTCCAATTCCTGCTTTACCTTCTCATGCTCCACTCAGCCCTCAAATTTGAACAATGCAGATTCCGTCTGTAAAAAGATGATACATTTATTTTCCATTATAACTCAGATGGACAGAACAATCTATATATAATATGATTATATAGAAACCTGGTCTCTCCCCCAAATTTCAACCATTTTGTTAACAGGAAAAATAGCTACAGAATCCAATTATGTACCTCATCTGTTTAAAGCTTTGTCCAATTTTATCATTTAAATCCTCCATTTGGGGAGCCTTTAGTCTTTGTGATACAAGCGTTCAGCCTCACAGAGGCACCTATTTCCCTCTGTAGTTATAGTGCATCCCCATGAAAGGAATGGAGAGAAAGACATTTTCTCTCAATAACTGAACATTCAGTGTCCTTGGCATAATGCTTTCTCACTCTCGTGATCTCTGGGGCTCGATTCCATGTCCACCTGTGCATTATTTGCTCTATTGGCATTTGTGGCTGAGATAAATTGTCATCTAATCTTTTTTGGCTTGTCAGACCTCCCCAACTCACTCTTCCTACCTCACCTGACCACTGAGTGCCCACAGGCCTCCAGATCCCGGCCAAGTTATCCATCTAGCCTGCTGGTCTGATGATTTACTTCCAAGCCACAGAAGCTAACTCTATTCTCAAACCCTTAACATGAAACTTCTATCATCACTTCTTGCCTGAACATGCTTAACTAGCTAGTATATTTATCAAAAGATGATCCATACCCTCCAAATAGATGCTCAGAGAGCAGAAATCAGTAGTTCAATTTTACTTCGTTGCCTACCTACTTTTACTCTCTTTTTCTTTTCCTTGAACTGCCCAAGTCCTGAAAAAGGGGAGGGGTTTTCTGGGTTTTTTTCTCCTACAGTATATATTATTTCTTCTTTAACTCCAGCTAAGATATACAGGTTCTCTTCTCAAGACTAAGGAGACCCCTATAAGTTAATAGTCTTAATATCAGTTTTTTGATAAGCTAACGTAAATGATCTTACCTAATGGGTGTAATAAAGTCTTTCAGGATATTACTTAAAAGGTCAAGTATTTCTCTGAAATTAGACCAACTAGCTTTAAGACACAATTTTCTACTTTGTGTGTGTCATGGCAGGGGGTGGTGGTGGTGGACTGATAAACTGAACCTAATTTAGATTGAGAATTAAAACGGAATCAGATTAAGGTTATATTGTTATAGACATATTGAAATAGTCCAAGTTACTCAAATATCCACTTATTTTGCATATTCTATTCTCTTGGCCAAGAATGCTCCTATTTGTATCCTTCAGCTGAAAAACTTTTATTCTGCCCTTGATAAAAATCAGACCCCGCCTTTTCTGTGAGATTTCCTTGGATTCCTCCTCTGTTTTTTCTTGGCCTTTAATATGTACCTGTATAAATGACTTATTGTATTAATGTCTCCTGTTACATCTAACTCTTTGGGGAAAGGTTTTTTTTTAATGTTTATCTCAAACATTAAAACATATTACTTAGAAGCGTTCTTGGCACAGCATAGGCACTCCATAGTGTATACCAACAGGATTTGTAAATTAAATTTCTCTATGATATTAAAATTAGTTTAGGATACACAGAATAACCGTGGAAATGCTAAATGAAAAAAAATATTTCAATTTAATATAACAATATAAGAAAGATCACAAGGCAGTACATAATTAATAGTCGTGAGTAATATAAAGAATAAGTACTTGCCAAGTTTAGAGGGGGAGAGATTGTTGTAGTCTAGGATGGTTTAGAAAATCATAAATGGGAAGATGAGGTGAAATTAAACTCGAAATACCAGTGATTAGTATATATTCATCTGGTATCTATTTATTCATTTAATCCTGTACACTTGATTATTAAATTTCTATGTCTTATTTAATTATATACCTATAACTAAAAAATTCTTAGCTCTGTTGTATCACAATGGTGTCCCAATATTACAGCAATTTGGTGGGTAAATCTATATTTATCATGATTATAGGTTTACGAGGTTTGAGAATTTTATTTATTTAATAATTAATTCATAGTTTCATGTGTCAATTCATCTAGTCAAAATATATTTATTCCACATCTACTATGTTTAATGTACTCTGCTAGGGCAGGGGGAAAACTAAGATGGCTAAGATTCTCTCTCAAGAGCTTGCAGTCTCACAGAGGGAGATAAATATGTAAACAAATAATGCAAGAAAGTATTATAAGTACTATGAGTAAAAATATGCCCAGGGAATTATTGAGCATCATGATGACACCAGACTAGCAAAAATGAGACTGTGCTTAGTCTAAGTCTTGAAAAGTGGATACATGTTTACCATGTGGGGAAAATACAGAAAGAAAAAGGACATTGTGAGGAAAAAAGCATTAAAATGTGGAAAAGCGTGGTGTATTTGGAAACTACGAGTAGTAATTTGATATGGATGTATCATAGGTGCAACTGGCATGCAGGTAGGTGTTGCACAGAAAGAAGAAGATGAAGCCAGGTACCTGAGGGTTACTGTAAATATTCAATAAGAACATGATTACCCTTCGACCTTGATCCCAACACAGAAGCAAATGAAAAGAAGTTAGTCTTGTTAATTTGTTGTTTTCTCCTTTAACCTGAGGGGTGACTCAAGGGTCACAAGGATTTATGAGCTTGTTTTTTCAGAAGAAAAATAATGTCTTCAAGGAAGTGATGATCAGATCACCAGATAACCAGCCTCCAGCTGCAATTGATGCCCAGAAGTCTGATTGCCCAAGGGCTCACCTGGAGCGAAAGAAACACAGATTTCTCCTTTGTTTCTCTGAAACTCCTCCTCCCCAGCTCCTTAGCTCTATAAAACCCCCTGCTTTCTTCTGTTGTTAAAGTGGATTTGAGAGAACCTATCCTCTTGCCTTCTCATTTTCCCTGATTCGAATAAGACTTTCTCCATCTCCAAGCACAGATGTCTCAGTGACTGACATATTATGCACCAGGCATGCAAACTTGAAATTAAGAGTTTTGGTTGCAAGGACATTTCAGGAAAAATTGGGTAATTTCTCATTTAGTCTCTTTCTCTATTGGGAAAAGCTCTCTCTTGCTGTGTTCCATTTTGCTTTTATTTTTAAGGCTATGTTTCTTAGTTGGAGGTTCTGTCTTGTTAAAAATTTTAGGCACCTCTCTGAACCTCACATAAATTCATTATCCTCCATGAGATATAGTTTTGAGTTTCATACTCCATTTAGATATAAATGTTCCATAATTCCTACTTATGTAGCATATTGTTTCTATATCTCCAGTGATAATATGTAACACATTAAAACTATTTTTAAATTTTATCACCTTCCCACACTACTCTCCCCTCATCTTCCTCTCAGCTCATTTCCTTTCTACCTAACTCACATTCAGTGTCAAGCTTTATCTTTATTAATTCAGGTAAACCTTACAGTGACCCTATAAGGTAAACACTATTATTATATCCATTTTTTGGAGGAGAAAACTAAGACATGAGGTCACACAGTTAACCAACAGTAAATCTGGGTTTCAAATCCAGGCAACCTGGCTCTGGAAATTATTTTCTTAACCACCACTCTCAAGGTAAATTCTCAAACTTCCACCACCATGTCTATCAATGTACTTACACTGGAGCCTATATAATTGGTCTTCCCTTTACTACTATTTTTCTTTTTTTTTTTTTTTTGCGAGGAAGATCAGCCCTGAGCTAACATCCATGCTAATCCTTCTCTCTCTCTCTTTTTTTTTTTTGCTGAGGAAGACCGGCTCTGAGCTAACATCTATTTCTGATCCTCCTCCTTTTTTTTTCCCCAAAGCCCCAGTAGATAGTTGTATGTCATAGTTGCACATCCTTCTAGTTGCTGTAAGTGGGACGTGGCCTCAGTGTGGCCAGAGAAGCGGTGTGTCAGTGCGCACCCGGGATCCGAACCCCGGCCGCCAGTAGCGGAGCGTGCGCACTTAACCGCTAAGCCATGGGGCAGCCCCACTACTATTTTTCTTTTACTGATATTTCTCTTTTTCGTTTCTATTGAAGACCAATGATCCATGAGATTCTACCACCTATCTCCTACTCAAGGTCATTATTATTCATCTCTCTCTTTGTTCTGCATCATCAGTTTTTTCACCCAATGGAATCTTTCTGATGGTCATACAAATATACTTAGCTATAATCTCTCTCATATCTACAAAGCCTTTTGACTTTACTTACCATCATCACCATCAACTCCACTTATCTCCTTCTTTTAGAGCCAAACTCAAAAGCATTGTCTATATGTGCTGTTTCAAATTTCTCTCCTCTCACTATTTTTTCAAGCTATTCCAGTCAGATTTTAACCCCCACTCTCCAACCAAACTGCTATTTTCAAGTTCTCCAATAATGTCCATGAAGTCAGTTCTCAGCTCTTTTCCTACTTGACCTGTCAGTAGCATTTGATATAGTTGATCACTCCGCCCATGAAATAGTTTCTTCACTAGACTCCCAGGATTCTTTCTTAATGGCTTCTCCTTGTCACTGAACTTTGCTGGTTCATCATCATCTCCTAAATCTCTATAAGGCTAAATTCTTGAACTTTTTCTCATTTTTTATAATCAAAATTCATTCTCTTGGCAATTTCATCTAATCTCATAGTTTTATACGTCATCAATATACTGACAAACCCAAATTTATATTTCCAGCTCTGACTCATTCCCTGAACTTCAGATTCATATATCTAGCTCCCCACACAACAGTCCACTTTATTATATAACATGTGTCTCACACTTAACATGTCTAAACCTAAGCCCCCAATCTTTCCCCATTCCCATTACAATCTGCTTGTCCTACCCTCCTTTTATCTCAATAAATAGCCAATTCAGCCTTATAGTTGCTCAGACCAGATATCTTGGACTTATTCCTTATGATTCTTTTTCTCACATATCCTACATTTTATGAATCAACAATCCTGTCATCTCTACCTTTATGACATATTTACATCCCAAAACCTTTTCACAACCTCCACCACTACCACTATGGTCAAGTCTCTATCATCTCTCAAATGAATTCTTTGTTTCGTTTAGTTAACACAGCAGCCAGAGTGAATCCTTGAAAATATATCAGATGACATTCTTCTGCTCAAAACAATCCGTTGTCTTTTCATCTAACCCAGAGTAAACTTGAGTAGATGGTCTATGAGGTTCTACAAAATCTGCCTCCCTGACAATTACCTCTCTGATTCATTCTCCTGATACTCAGGAGTACTCCATTCTCAAGTGCTCTGTGTTTCTCCTCATTTTTGGGTTTTTTGTGCATTTGCTATTCCTTCTGCTTGGGAAAATTATCTGTTCAGGTACCTGCAAGACTGGTTCCACCAATTCTTTCAGGTCACCTTGCATAGTCACTGGAGGTTATACATAAATTGGTAGTAATCTTTTCTCCATTCTGACTTTCACGATATACCTTGTCTGTTTTGATAAATTCCATTCATGTATAACCATCCAACATATATATTATTACCTATTTACTTATTTATTTTGTTTCTGTTTAAAATGTAGGCACTAAGAGCCCACACTTACATATTCGCTTACTTATTCACTTACATATCCCTAATATCTTGAACAAGAAATAAATATTTTTGGGTAAGTAAATGAAAGAATATATAGAAATACATTAGAAATCTTTCTTAAATATTTTCTAGCCATAAAAAGGAAAAAAATAATGAAAAACATGTTTTCAGTTTTTTTGTTCATATTTTTATGTTAAATACCTGCAGACTCTAAAGATATAAACAAAAACTCTTCTATATCAAAATGCACACTTTATAAATGCCTACTTGTTCCCATGCTTGCCCTGCCTATGCTTATTGTGGATTGAGAAACTTTAGGTATTCTTGTAGGTTACTATTCCAGATTTGATCAGAAATCAGTGTTTTTAATAGATTGAGAAGATGATTTGTTAGTCCTTGCCTTTGTCACTTATTAGCAGCATAGCTATCTCTGTAACTTAATTTTCCCATTTATAAAATGAGGATGATAATTGAAATACCGGACAGCTCAATACTATTGTGAAAGGTAAGTAAATTATATACATCTTTAGTTCCCCCATCCACTGCAAACACACACACTCATGTTTTGTAAATGGTGAAATGTGAACATACTATAGTGGTAAGAGCTTTGGAATCTGAAAAACTTAGGTTTTAATCTGAAGACTGTTACCTACTAACTGGATGAGTCATTTTCATCTCCCTGTGTCCCATTCATTCTCTTTATCTTTATAATGGGTGTCAAAATGATCACTTCAAAGATTAATTGTGGAGAAAAAGCTTAACACTATGAAAAGCATATGTTAGACATCCAATAAATATTATTGCCTCTTTTTCTCTCCCTCTACTTCAAAATTAGTCTCACCTCTTTTTCACCCCCAAACACCATTTTTGAAACCTCTGGCTGAGATGCATAGCGTAGTAGAAATAGATCCCAATCAGTCTAAATTTCTAGAGTCTCAGAATATGTGTTTCTATGTAGTATTTTTGTCTATTATTGTTCTTCAATAATAATAATCTTGTTGAGAAGATTTAGGTAGACTGCTTAAGCGCCCAAGAACTATAGGTTTTCACACTAATTGGATAGCTCCTCAACACTTGCCACTGGGTCAGCAACATATCAGAGGTGACTCAGAAATATTGATATCTACCTAAAGATTGCTACACAGCAATTTTGTTAAAGAGGCACAGGATTTTAGAGTGTATGTTCAAATCATAAAATACAATATGTGAAACTGAAGTGATGGGAAAGAAAAGGCTAGATTTGCAAGTGTGCAGTGTCTAATCAAAAGACCTGGGTTTGAGTCCTTCCTTATCTTGATTCAAACACTTGACTACGTTGCTTCCTAGTCTCAATCTGTGAAATTGAAGTTCTGAGATTTTTCAGAATTGCTATAGAAATCAAATGAATTAATTGACAAGAATGTGATAGATAAATTCTAAACAATTAAACAAATATTAGCCAAATAATGGTATTAGTTAAATTAGATTAGCCATATATGTGTTTGTGTATATTCACATATATATATACATTTGACCCAATCATTAGTAATTCAAGATTATTTGAGAGCAATCTATTGGTCAGTGAAAACAGAGAATAGACTAGTTTATAAATAAATGTGAGAGAGTGTGGAGGTAGGATCTTCCCTCGTCTGTTTATTCTTTCAAAAAGTTATTCCTGAGGACCTTCTAAGCACCAACATGTGAGAGCACATCTATGGCCTCATTTTAATTTAACCCATTTGACATAGTCATTGAATCATTCCTCTACGTAAGGCAGTATTCTTAGTTGGCCTTTCCAACAGGATGAATTTGATTTAAGAGACATTACCCTGCGTTTTGAAAAGTAACGGATGACCATCCATCATCTATTATTCTTCTTCATGGGTAATGCTTGCTTTTCAACTCTAGGATTAGTATCCCCACAGTTATTAATTCATCAGGTTAACATAATATATTTTCTACTGTTTTAATCTTTACATATTGCAGGAAAACATTACTAGACATTTATATATTGTAAGGATTCAACATGTATTGTTGAAATGAGGATGGGGTAAATGGCAAAATTAGAACATTAATTTG